AGATATTAATATGTTACAGCATTAATTACCATTACCGTTAACAATTCTTTTTTATTCCACATAAAACGTTTCCTTGCTGCTTAAGCCATTTTCTTTTAGTTTCATGCATAAGGAAATATAGAACAGTTTGTCCTCATCCTACTAAAAGCCTTAAAGTTTATTTATTTATTTATTTATTTTCCACAACCGGGGATTGAACTCAGGCCCTTGTGCTTGCCTGGCAAGCGCTTATTCCACTGAGTCATCTCCCCGGCCCACGCCCAGTGTAATATTACATCTTTGTATCCAAGTTGATGTCACAAGGCAGCAATACTTAGAAATACAGTCTCACATTTACCTAAAATTTGTCCAAGTAACGGATGAATAATCCTATTTGTGTAACACAAAGTGACACAAATCACTTTGTACCATTTTCAGTATTATGTTTTTAAAAATTTCTACCCACCTAAGCTTAAATCCTACATTTCATTTACAACACCTGCAGCAACAGCAGCTGACCATACGCACACGCAGGTCGCACCAGCCGCGGAGCATACCATGCAGCTCATTCCTGTACTGCGGCTGAGCACCCCTGACTTCCTCACCCTGGCCCAGCACCCTCCATGCGAGGGGCGTCCTACACCCCTTCCGGTACCTGCATGTTGACATATGACGGTCGTGGGCCCAGGCGGGCCCTTTCCGAGTTCTGCTGGGCGGCTGCAGCCCTCTCCGCAGCGCGCTCGCTCCCTGGTGCCTTCTTGTCGGCCAGCGGGCTTTCGGTAGCGCTCAGCTCAGGCTCCGAGAGCAGCCTGTCCGTGCTGCTGTGGAGCAGAGAAAGAACAGGATTTAACATTCTACCACGTACACAGACACGCTGCACGTCTGCTTTACGTGCCACCATCCTGAGCTACTTGGGTGTCACCTCTCATTGCGTCTTCACAGACAAATTATGCACAGTGACTGCTGCCTCCCCGCTCTAACACATGAGGAAAATACCGTGTCCAAGGCCAGCCTCCCATGGAAGTGGCACAGCTGCAATGTGAGGTCGGACACTCTGCGACCAGCCCCAGAGCGCGGAGCCCTTTCATGACGCTCCTTCACGAGCACTGGATACCGTGCACAGTATTGTGCATACAGCATAGAAACAACAGATGTCCAGACACGTGTCAGTGAGAAACCAATACTTGGGCACATGAAGTCTAAACAGTTTGAGTAAGCGTGAAGGCATAAAAGTTATTTAGCTCACATGTGTCAAATGCGTATGGTATAACAAAGGCAGAAAATAAATAAGAAATACTCTCTAAAACCTATGTGGGGGCGGGCAAAGTGTGCAAATAGGCATAGTGCAGGGCGTGCCTGAATCACAGCCCCTGATACACGCAGGACACATTCACTCCAAGTTCACATCCACTTCTGACTAGCACACAGTATTAGTCAAAAAGCCAAAGGATTCATTTGTTCAAGGCTATACTCATTCAACTACTCAGTTGCTATACCAGAGACGGAGACGAATTTAGAAAGGACAGAGGGAGCAAAAAGGTATGGACAGTGACTTTTGCTTGACAAAAGTTGGCAGAAGCTTCACAAAGGAGATCTGAGCAGGGAATTAAGGGCATCTCAAGCACACAGCGCCGAAGGCCAGGAGGCTGGCAGCTGGAGGGAAGAGCAACAGGACAGGAAGCAGGGGAGGCGCATCCTCCAACCTTCCTAACCAGAATGTGACCTCATAAGGCTCAGGTTTTCAAAAATTACCACAGTGAGTGAGTGTGAGCAGGAGCAAGAGAGAAGAGAGCAGAGAGCAGAGAGCAGAGAGCGAGAGAGCAGAGCAGAGAGTGAGAGAGCGAGGTGTGAGCCTCATGGCAGGAGACCACTCTGCCCTCTGCCAGCTGCAGCTCTACCCAGATGACAGATAGATAAAGGTCCTGAACAAGCTCAAGAATGGGGCTGGGGATATAGTTCAGTGGCATAAGTGCCCACCTGGCAAGCACAAGGTCCCAAGTTCAACCCCAGTACTGCAAAAGAAGAAAAAAAGAAAGCTCAAGAATGAATGAAAAGAGTAGAAAAAAATGGTTCAACAGGTAGAAGAAAGCAAAGGCATGTCTCTAATTTGTACTGCAGAAAGTTGCTTTTGGATATCACCGCCATGTGAACAAAAACAGATAAAGCCGAACTGAGCAAGAGCAGAGTTTCTAACGCCAATTGTTTCTAGTTTAAAAGAGGAGGAGACAGTGCGCATATTAAGCTTCACATGCAGAGCCTCTGTAAGGAGACAGGACAGGAGGACAGGGTGGACAGGGAGGACAGGAGGACAGTGTGGACAGGTGGACAGAAGCAAAGCCTCGCACCACAGGGCAGAAGAGAGTAGTCGGGAAGAGGCCAAGGTGTGAAGACAGAAATCGGCAGCTGTGCCACAGTGCAGGTGTTTATTCTCAGTGAAATTTGAAATAAACAGAAGCATGCTACTTTTAAGCATCTATCAAATATTTGCAGTTATGTATCTTGGAAAAAAAGGAGCAATAGCTTAAGAAAAATTCCAAGCCAAATGAAGGAGAGTTCACAGTGGGAAAACCTCTAACAGAATAGCATCAGAAAACAAAATTGCCCTGCTGATTACCGATGAGAAGAGAGAATGGTAATTTCAGAGCACTGGAGATGGTTTGTGTGAAACAGACACAATAAACTCAATAAACTAAATGGGGGGAGATTATAAAAAATATAGGCAAAGGTAAAAATTAGCAGATACAATTTGCTTTTTTTAAAAAAGATGATCATGGAGAGAAGTGGGAAAGCCTACTGGGAGTTCTAACCTGCGCCGCGCTGCGCTACAGTGCTAGCTGAATTGGGCCTGGTACACATTTGCTTTTAAAGAATCAAGGGCCGCAAGATTTAGACACATACTGTAAGTGTGAGTTTTTCGTGCCTTGCAGCAGCTCTACCGTCTGCCTCTTGGTGCAGGGCACTTTGGGGGGACCCAGCATCTGCTTCAAGTCAGCAGCATTTCCAGAATGGGAGGGACTTCGAGGCATGCCGACCTCCACAAAGGCATCATTACACCCTGCAAGGGAGAAGGGGGTGTAAGCACAAGCCTCCGAGGTGGCAATTATCTGCAGTGGAAAACAACAACAGAGAGAAACAGAGCCCAACTCTACAGAGACATTATTAGCCTGACCCTAAGTAACAGCTTTTAGCCACAAAGGGTGTGCCTCAGCAAACGCAGGCCCAAATAAAGCTCAATACGAAGAGAAGACCCTGCTATTTTTTTTTTAATAATAATGAATGTCAGGAGTAAAGGAGATCAAAGAATATTTACAAGCCAGAGAATAGGCATGTATTTTGTATATCTTTATATAAAAATACTTTAGGAAGGTCCAGTGCAATTAATGAAAGTAACATTTTGTGGAAACTACCTAATTTTTCCCCACGCTCTGTGGAACTGCACTTAAGATAGTTGAGCACGATGGGCCATGGCTGGTTAGTTAAACCATCTAGGCATCCCCTCAGACTCTGCACACCCCCTTTACCCAAGTAGCAGACTGTCACCAAGGAGGAAAGCTGCAGTCCCTGACCTTCTGTAGGGCGGGATTTGGGAGAAGCCTGCTCCGACCCGGTCGTCTGGATGGATGGATCGCCATGATTGGTACCTAGCACTTTTTCTCCAAGTGATGTAGTGGATATTGCACCATATTTGATATTTGGAGACTAAAATAACAGAAGACAACATATAAGACAACATATAACATAAGACATGGTCATAATTTTACAACTTAAAAGTTACTGCCAGGAAAGACTGACGCATGTTTCAAGTGTTTCAAGGGGCTCACCTCCCACCAGCAGTACGGGCTGGACCCCCAGCAGAGGGGAGTTACCTGCGCACGTCCACTTAAAGAGGCAGAGGTCTTCTTGCCCTCTGTTTGCACACTGTTGACATGGGCATCTACAGGAGTCAAGCCAGGAGGGGGAGATGGCGCTGTGTGCCCATAAGTGGGCACGCCCGACAACAGGATATTGGTCAGTGTGGCTTGGGCAGTAGATGGAATCATAAGGTGTGGAATAGGAGAAAAACCTATGGACACAGGAAAATCTTAGCATCAATTATTTACTAAAACAATAAAAACATCAGTTTTGTGGTTGCAAATTCAGAAGACAATTCAATTTTAACATTGGTTCATAATTGATTTAATCTTACTATAAAACCATAAATGAATGTTAAAATGAAACCAAATCTTAAGGGGCTTTTAATAAAGTCCCTGACTGCACAGACACATGAGCTGCGTCATGCCTGAGCATGTGACCAGCAAGCAAGCTGGTCGAGGCAGAGCCTGCGCCTCTAATTCCCAGGCCTGTGACCTGCACAGGCGTTTGCCACCATACCCCCTCCTCTGCACACTGCACTGTTCCTGATCTCTGATCACACCCGAGAGTGTATTTCATGAGTATGAAAGCTCATCGCTCTGTTGTGCTTCACTCTAATTAATTTACACCACAGGGAATTTCTGTTCGGTGGGAGTACGCTTTGAACCAAAATTTTTCTCCAAGGAAATTGAATCATTTCTAAATTTTATTTAAAAAACAGCAGCATCTGAGAAGGCACACTTTGCTTACAATGAAATGATACTGACCTGTGGCACCTGAAGCATTAGCGAGTGGTGGGGCCCATAAGGTGGGGCTGGGGGTTCCAGAACTCGGGCTTTGCAGAGGGCTCACTGAGCTATTCAGTGCGTTCAAGAGTGAGTTGGGGGTTGGTGACGTGTTGAGCGATAAGGTGGTGGGCCCCAAGAGACCTGTCGTAAAGAAATGGGAAGTCAATACACGCAAACTTGGGATTGTAAAACAAAGCGGCCCCAGTATTGCCAGTTGGGATACCTATCAATATAATCTGATATTTTCTAATTATACAATATGGGTGACAGGGTTTTTTCCAATACTCACAGGAAACAGGCCTTTATACACTGCCAACACAGGAGCAGCTTAGCCACAAGGTGATGTTTTCCAAAAAGGAAAGAGAGGACAGCACGCAGGGTCACCATCCTGGCAGGTACCTTGCATTCCATCAACTGGCCAGGTCAGATTTCTGCTCCACCCCACACCTATTTTTACTTTTCTGCTTAACTTGTCATCTGCTGCTAACACAGGCTTTCTACAACACTCCATTTAGTGGTGATGAGGGAATATGCACTTGTGGAAGAGTAGATTCCATGTGGCTCCTTTGTGGATAGGCTGAGCTACCAGAATCCATTTTTTATGTGTCAGAAGCTAGATGCAAATTATTTTGGCTCTATCCCAATAATGAAACTTCCTTCAGAAAAACATCCTTGCTTTTTTTGTTTTCAAATTGAAGAATTCAATGCTTGAGTTCAATAATGAAATTTCTCTCTGGGCATTTAAATATGTTCTAAAATATAACATGCATTTGTATACATGTTTCCAGGAATATGCATCAATATTCAGTATTATAGGATAGGTCAGTCATGAAAACATTTTTTTTTGGGGGGGCTGGCTCAGGATGCCTTCACGACAGGTCTCATTTGGCTTGAGCATCTGGGGTTCGGACCACAGCAACCTGAGACTGACTGCTCTGTTTAAGCAGTCACTTAAACAACTGAGCTAATGGACAGGCCGCCCCCTCCCCCATGAAAACATTTTTAAGAATTCAGTAACTCTATCTTTTCTTGTCTTTTCTTTTTCAGTTTGCAAGACAAAGGAGGCTGCTAAATTACCTGACTGGCCTCTCCTAGCCCATATGCACTGCTATCATATGACTCTCTTGGTCTCTGCAGAAGGGATGTCTTTGGTAGATTAGGGACCAAGAAAAAAATCCTTCCTTATTGGAATGGCATTAGAAAAAAAAAAGTTAAACCATGTTCTGAGTATTTTTTATATCTCAAGTCAGCACTGAATGAGAAAAAACAATTTGCCTGGATCACTGCACAAGCTTGAAGGAGCAGTGGGCCCAGTGTCACTATACGGGGTAGCCAAGCCCAGCCTGCCGAGCACCGCACCACAGAGTATGCTCCACACACCACTGTGCCCATGGGAGGCTCACAGTTTTTTTTTCTTCACATTATAATCCTAGGTTTATTCAATTCCTTTACTCTACACAACAAAATACAAGCACAACCTTATTTAAAATAACTACAAAGTTACAAAACTCAAATTTTATAGCACTGACTATACAATAAAAGCCCAAATCATGAGATCACTTCTTTCTTTCCCTGTTCCTTGCATACAGTACGAATGCGGGTCCTTTTGCTTCCCAGGTGCCCAGGCCAGGCTGCTGCCGATCTGGGGCAGGCAGGGCTCAAGGCTGGTGGTGGCGTTTTCATTGTTTTCCCTTCTCCTCACCCCACTCCTCATGCAGATTTGCAATTACTTTTCAGAAGCAAACCAGATAATCTTTATCTCTGGGGACTGATGGCAATATTGCAAATGCAAGAGAGAACAAACACATAAATTATAGTCAGCCTCACTTCAACCTCAGCAGCATTCTTAATTTAGAAGAACAAACACAGCTAATGAAAATAAAACAGTCAGACCTTGATTATTTACGCCAACAGAGGAAGAATCTGGGCGACCAAAACCCAGAGCTTAAAGAAAGGAAAACGAAAGAGAATAAATAGATTCAAATTTTGCTGCTTTTTACCTGATGTTAAGGGTTTGAAGAAGTAAAAAGAAAATCATTTAAATGTAGACCCATATGGTAGAAAGAAAAGGAACAGGGGACGAGATGAGCATTTCCCCAGCGCCGGAGAAGCATGGTAAGAATAAATCTGATACCTAGTCCAGTGAGTCCGAGGCCTGCAGAGGCTAAGATATCCAGGCTGGGACATGCCAGGCCGGCAGGGCATGATGGTGGGGATGGGCTGGTTGCTATGGGAACCCCACTGCTTTCAAGTCCGAGGAGACATTTCCTTGCTTCATACATATTTAAGGCATTTCGTTCAACACTTTTCACAATCACAGACTATGAAAACACATAATGGGAAAAAAAAAGTGACATGCGAGTAGTCTACAATGAACGGGGGGTGGGGGAAGAAGGTGGGTGGAAAATGAAATGCTAATAAGAATGCCACTCAGGGGACACAAGCAAGCTGCAAATTCTAGCTACTCATTTCTTAAATCTGGTAAAATGGTAGAATGTTAGTCACCATTTATTGCATGCATCTGGCACTGCATGCACCAGGATGGAAGCAGCCTGAAGGTCCCAAATCTCACCAAAACCTTCTGGAGTGGGTGTCGCTGCTCATACCCAGGGAGCTAGGAGACTTAATCAAGGCTAACACACCTGCAGAGGCAGGAGAGGGCTCAGGTCTCTATCCACAGCTCTGTGTTTATTTTAACCTCCTCCCACCATCTCACAAATTAAACTTGTCACCATTCTACAGATGACACAGTGACAGTCCTTATGTTTGATATTTATGGTCTATTAGTAATAGACCTTAGGTGCCACAGTTTGCACTGGTGGTATAGCTAAGGCAAAACTTATGGTAAAAGGAAAAATCATATAAATCTTTTATCTCTTCAATGCACTCAGATAACAAACTGAAAATGGAAAGAAAAGGGAAACACTTCCAAAGGGCAGTAAAGGGGCCAGGGAGATAGCTCAGTAGAATAAGTGCTTGCCTGGCAAGCACAAGGGCCTGAGTTCAATCCCCGGTTCCACAAAAAAAAAAAAAAAA